CCAAAACATTTTACCAAAAAAGGTAAGTTAAAATTAGAGACTCTTCCAAAGAAAACAAGAAAATCCACCCTAGCTCACATGCATTTCTTTTTTTCAAATCCATAAATAAGTTTGAGGCCTGTGTTTTATTTTATGTTCTTCTTTCAAAGTCTCAGTCTCTCCCCAGTCCAATTGAACCCTTACCCAAATTAATGAACCAAACTACCATTTTCTAGATCAGAGATTCTAGGACTCTGCTGGACACGAAAACCAAGCTGTCTGATTAAAATGGAAATTCAAAGCCTCCACATCCAGATATTTCGGTTTGGTGTGTCAGGTATGGGGAAAACACCCCCTGCACTTCCCCTCTTACCCTCCCCATTGGCTGACACAGGTGGTTGGTAGACCATGCTTTGAGGAACACTGTTTCAGAGGCTACAAGAGCAAAGTTACATCTCTTTTAAACCAGTCTAAATATTGTCTCCACCCTCCAAAGGAACAGGAGGACTTTCTGTGTCCCTCTTTCCCTATGCATCTGCCCATGTCACCTGGTACAAAAAAAAAAAAAAACCACCAAACCCAATGACTTCGAGTTGATTCTGACTCATAGCAGCCCTACAGGACAGACTAGAACTGCCTCATAGAGTTTCCAAGACTATAAATCTTTACGGAAACAGTCTTCCACATCTTTCTTCTCAAAGGGGCTAGTGGGTTTGAACTGTCGACCTTCTGGGTAGCAGCCCAGTGCTTAACTACTGCACCACCAGTGCTCCTTCCTCTTGCTAAACTACCTTCAAAACAGACTTCTCTGCTCTGATCTGGTCACTGCTTTGGCCCTTACTAGGTAAGCTCTAACTCCTCCTGTAAGAAGAGGACCTCAGCGGCAAAATTTCCTGGCAGCTTCGGCAACTCAATCCCAACATCAAACGTAGAGCACAAGAGCAGTAACTTCACTCCATGAACTTGCAAGTCGCTTGCCAGATGCTGACTCTGTGAGGCACATCATGCCCAGTCCTCCTCAAGGACTCTGGGGCACCCAGAATGTGTGACAGTATAAGATGGCCCACCTGGGCCTCAGGGTCTGCCCCTGATTACCCTTGCTTTCTAACCCCTCACTCTCAGGCCTGATCAGAGGGTGGACTTCCCATACTCTGGAGGCCATGCCTACAAGAAGAGCATTCTATACACAGAGGGCATGCAGTCTTGTAGCTACTGAAATAAACCCCTGTCCATAGGTTGCTGATTTACCATGGTTAAAATGAACTTCTTTTAAAACACTATGATACTGACAACCATGTTAAATCTCTTACATAACAAACTCTTTTTATAGAACTCATTTCCTATGCAATCAGTCCCACAGTGACTAGGGTTTAAGTTATGGCGATCCACAGACACAGGGTTCCTGACTACATAGTGTTTGCTTTGGAATGAAGGTACTCACAACCTACCTCCAAGTGCCAGAGGCAGCAGGGATGACAATTCCCAGGGCTCACAGGCCAGCCTCGACAGTTAAAGTGCCACAGGAAGTCTGAGGGGCCAAAGGAAGCAGGCAACCAACCAGGGCCTTGCAAGCCACCAGGTCTCTTAGGCCAGCCTGATGTTATAATGCAGAATGCAATACCTTGCATCTAAATGCAGGCCTGTTCCAGACACACAGCATGGAACTTTAACCAATTCAACAACCTGGGAGTCTGCGTGTCATAGAGCATTTGCTTTCCTGAATCCACGTAATAGATACGTGAAATATAAAGCACATGCTACAAGGAAGTGACCAGTATAGGTCAGGATGGGGGTTACCTTTGGTGGGAGAGGGTCATCATAGGGAGGGGCACAGGGGGGCTTCTAGAATGGGCAAATACCTATTTCTTGGCCTAGGTGGTGGTAATGTATTCACTGTGTGATCATGAATTTTTTGTTTTACATACTTTTGGTGAAAGTGCATGTTTTTTTTTAAAGGTGCCTGCGATATGACTTCACAGCGAGACTAGTACTCTAGTACTCTAGCCCTTACTCGTAGGATCACACATCCCTGATGGCCCCGGGGCTAGTCAGACCACAAGCACACTCAACGATGTTCCCACTGAGCAGTCGCACCCCTGGAGCACAGACATTTGTTCACAGAGCTCTCAAAATCCTTCAGCTCAAATGTAGTAGTAGCCAATGTGGCATTTTATGAACAAGGGAGAACATATGAGGATGAGAATTATCCATAGTTAATGGAGTATAACAAGATGATGTTTTATCCACTGCACAAAAAATGTCACAGACCAACAGAGAATGTGACAAGGGCAGATAATTGAATGAGTTAAAAAAAAGAAAGAATGGCTTCATGTAGGACTTGTCTTTGGTGCCCTTTCTTCATAGGGACACTTGGTCTTTGTGTCTCTCCCACATCCTTGGCTCACTGCAGCCTTTGCCATTTCCTGGCACCCACATTCCCCACCTCCATATTGTAAGTAATATGAGGGTTGGAGGAAGGGTTAGCATAAGTTATTTTCTTCTTTTCCTAGACAGACTTTTAAACTTTTTTTTTACCCCACCCCCAAAGTTTTCTATTTGTCAATTTTTTTTAAAATAAGTAAAGTGTTTATATATTCTTGCCTACCCTTTTCTTCTCACTAAAGTAAGTACTGGAAGGGACAGAGACTGTCTTACTCAACTCAGTATCTCTGGGCTTAGTACACGTGTCTGGCACCCAGCAGACATACAACAGGTATTTTGGGATGTACATACACACAAAAAATCATTTCTAAACCAGCAGTTCGAATCCACCAGCCGCTCCTTGGAAACCTTATGGGGCAGTTCTACTATGTCATACAGGGTCGCTATGAGTTGGAATAGACTTGACGGCAACAGGTTTGGTTTGTTTGGTTTTATGTTATACAAAGATGCTTATACAAAATTACCTATGTCAAAACCATCTATACCATCACTGAGGAATTTCCTGCTGTTGCAAAGCAAATTCCAATGTAACCTAAGTCAGGGCAGCACTGACTTCTACTTCTGTTTGGGATAGAAAGTAAGCAACACTATTCAGATTGGAGATTGGAAAGTACTCTTAAATGCTGCCATTTATGCTACATGAAAGATAGTTTTAGATAAGAAGTGGCTAAGGGCATGGGTTTGGGAGTCAGGCACAAATGGGTTAAAATCCCAACTCTACCATTAAATGTCCCAGGCAAATTACTTCATCTCTCTGAACGCTCCACTTCTGCCACAGGTACCAAGTCCTAGGAATGACATGGCACCTGACTCCTTGGCTTCTAGTCTGCTTCAGATGCCTCCACCTTTTTTCTCTGGGTGTAATTTAAAAAATTAACAGAGAACAGTGTTTAGCACCTATGTTGGGGGGATCCTCCTCAATGGGTGAGTATTGGTAGGAAGGGAGATCACCCCATTATAGATGCTGAGAAGGCCATCACTTCCTTCATACCTGGCACCTAGTATGAGCACACGTCACCGAGGCTTCGACAATCAGATGCTCCCACCTGGGACTCAATCTGGAGTAAGCGACACAAAGACATGGGGCAGAGAACAAGGCAGTTCAGTGGTGTCAAGATAAGTGCACATCCAATGTCCGATGGTGCCAACAGAGGAGTTCTCACTAGGGAGGTGGCTCACTGTTCTGGGGCTTGGTTTTTTGCTGTGGTTCTGGCAACCTAGCCTCCTCTGGTAACTGCTGGATAGTCTTTCAATTAATGCCTTTTCTGCTTAAGTTCTTACTTGCACCCAACAATACATGGACCGGGGTGGGAAAATCTTGACAACCGTTTGCTTTCAAAAGTTCAAGAGGGTGATAAAAATAAAACATCAAAAGAAGTCAAACCAGAGAAGCGATACCCTAGAAAATGAGGCTGAGCAAAGATTCATAGTGCAAAAGTGACATTAAGTAGCTTTTGCGTTCCCTTTTTTTACCGTACCATTTATGTTAGCTCCTTCATTTTTGAAAACAGACGCTTTCACTACTCACTTGACACAATGGAGAACACTATGGCCAGAAAACATATTGATTTTCTTTGTTTTACTCTATTGACAGCTTCTTCTGTTCTCAAGTTTCTCTCCGATTCTTGTAAACTGTAAGGCTGTGGATTATTAAACTCCTTGGCTTTCAGTTAAGTTTAACAAGTCTTTATTAAATGCCTACTGCGTGCAAGGCAAGATGCTATGAGAGCCGGAATCAACTAGATGGCAGTGGGTTTGACTTGGTTGGGTTTGATTTCGTTTGGTTTGATAACAAATGGAGACATTCCAAATCAAGTTAAACTGGAAATTTTGTAATTAATATTTCAACAAAATTTATTTTTAAATATAAAGCCAGCAAGGTAATCATTCTGTGAACATTCTCGCTTACATACAGTACCTTCTAGTGGTACAAAACCAGGAGGTACCAGGGTGGTGATCCATAAGCCAAACACAAAGCATAGGCAAGTTTTGTTTGACCCACATGGTGGTGTTGTTATTGTTTAAAAATTTTCAATCAGTTACTTAAAAAATTTAGATTTCCATAGAAATTGGAAGATCTGCCCACCCACTTGGCCTGGCACCTCGCAACATGGAGCAGGCTCCGAGCAGCAGCTGCTCCTATTATAAAGTGCATACGCTCTCGGCATGTCACAGTGCCCAGAGCCTGCTACTAGTTAACACCTGACCCATTTCACAAATTTATGTTACCTGGCCCCAAGAGGCATTCAAGTTTGGGATTCTTTTTCAGACATCATGAAGGGGGTTGTAAAACAAACACACACACACACACACACACACACACGCACACACACGCACACACACGCACACACACGCACGCATTTATTTCAAATGCTTCAGAATTTCCTTTTTCCATAGGGATAAAAGGGAGAGAAAATCCTTTCTTACTTCAATCACATTTACTTTCCCTGGATTTTAGGCTTTCCAAAAATCTAAACCACTGTATCTCCTGTTTCATCACTACATTTTTGTATTTAAATGTCTGTTGTCTGGAAATGACCAAATGTTGCTATGCATCCCCATTTCATTCACATTGCCACCTTTCAGATGCTCAGAAGGTCACGGCTTCTTCCTTCCCTGGTACCTGGGGAGAGGCCTGGGGACGTTTGTCGACTTTACTAGAAAAAAAGAAGGTGGGTGAGAATCTCACTATTTTTAAAGACTACTGTCTTGATCATCAATCACATTTATAATATACCAAACATTCTAATTTCATCAGCAAAAAGCATCTGGTACTTTAAGTGCAATATTTTTAAACAGCTACATATACATATTTTTATTTCATCCAAATTCCCTTTTGCCCATATAAGAGGAGGCAGATGAAATTTCTCACCCTTTCTGTTCTTATGTAGCACTAAGCATAGCTTGAAAATAGAAGCCACTCAAAAACACTTGATGAATGCTTAACTGAATGAATGAATGAATGAACGAACAAAGAACACATGAAAAAAGTGTAACATTATTTTTGAGCCTGAGAGAGTCATCAGGATTCCTTGTTGTCTCCTCTCCAGTTCCCCCTGCTGTCTGAATTCCTTTCCTTTTCCGCATTTAATCCTACACCACCAGAACACCTATCAAGAGACCCAGGGTCAATGCTCACTCAACCAGTATTAGATATGTGGACAGGCGGCTTCACCTTCCAGAGCTTTCATGTCCTCTCCAAAGAAGCTGGGGTGACCCAGCTAATTAGCTAAGAGGCTAATATAAGAGCCAAGGCAGTGTCCAACACCATAATGCCATAATGGCAGCAAAGGTGGTTAATTTTCTCCTGGGCTCTTTTCCAAGGCCTTCTGCTGACTGTCCAGGAATTTATGGTTATATTTCTTAAAATGATTTCTTTACATTCACAAAGTACTGCTAACTGTGGACCCTCCAGGGAAAAGATGACTTTTCTAGGCTTCTTAGCTTAGTCCCAGAAGGTAGCTCTGGAAAAATGAGGGTATTATCTTCATTGTCTTCACTATCTGAACCAGCCTCCCTCACTTGCAAAAAAAGTCATGCAGCAAACATCTCATAGTCTTGGTCTCTCAACACCAAAGGTGGTAAAGGACTAGAGCTCAATTATGTAAAATTGTTGAGCATAACGGAAACCTACTTACATCCAGTAAATCCACAATTAAGCCTCAGGTCAATCCTTACAATGTTAATGATTCCAAGGAAAGGGGCATTCCTTGCGGACTTCAACCATTCTGAACGTATTATTTTAATAATCCCAAAGAAATCAAAACAATTTGGGTCTTCATGAGTATAGCTAGTGCCCACGCATTACACATGAAATTCTTTTAAAAAGTGAGAAGAGAGATACCAACGAGTGAAATGAGCAACACTCACACTCGAGGTTTATGTGCAAGAAACTGCTTTTACCTGTGACCCTTCTGGACAAGCTAACTGGCAAGACAGTCTTTGCTTCTGGTATGAATTTTACCAAGTCCAATTACAATCATTGGCTATCTCTTACTGACTAAGGTTCTGATCAAATCACTGGGTAAAAAAATAAAAAACCAATGGCTACCCAATAATTTCAGTTTGTTTTGTAAATAAATTCTTTACTCCCTTAGTATCCACAGAGGGAAAGTAAACCTAAAAAAGGAAAAGGTGTGAGAAACACTTCTTTATAAGGCCATTTGCCAGTGCCCAGGGAACCCACATTCCCTGCCTGCCCCAGAAAAATGTCATCAACAGGCAAATGTCAGTTTTAACAGTCTTTAAGAGAATGTGGTAGACAATCAAGAAAAGGCAAAGTCTCAGGTGTTGAAGGGTAAGAACTAAGAAAAGGACATTGTAATTCATGCAAAGCCTGGCATCTTCCATTTCTCTACGAGTGCTGTTGCATCTGGGAAGGTGGCACATGGAGAATGGCACCCGATGGTGCCCAGCACAGTGCAGTACTTGTAATAACAATAATAATATAAGAATATATAATAGTTTAAGAATAACAGCTACTGTGTAGTAAGTGCTTACTGTGTGATAGGCACTGTATTAAGTACTATACATATATAGTATACATGGCATGTATATGTGTACGTATATGTATATATAATAGATATAAAACCCGATATATTTATATACATACATGAATGTGTATGTATATATAATCTCGTTTAATTCCTAAAATAACCCTGGGCAAATAATATCTCCATTTTTACAGATAAGAAAACTAGAGCTCAGAAGGTTAAGTAACTTTTCCACGGTCTTAGCCAGGAAGCTACGATCTGCACCCAAAGCTGTCTTGCCCAGTTCAAAACTTGGGCAGCTGTCACACACTGTATCACCTAAGAAGGTTCTAACACCTGAACAGCCACTCAGGAAAATGAAAGAATCCACCACTGTGCATCCTGTAAAAGTTCTGACTGCAAGGCCAGCCAGCCATCACCACAACCAGAAAGAGAGGTGCCACTGGGCATCCCCTGGCCAGCTGACTACACTGTGTTCTATGAATTCAGGCTCTCAAGGCAAAAGACAACCACTCCAAGGCCCACATGCCTTCTTCTAAGCAAAATGGAGCAACCCCTGGGATTAGATTTGTAACCAAGGATCCCAGAGTACTGCAGTACACAGGGTAACCCACCCACTGTAAGTTGTCCACATAATTGCAGAATCGATCTCTGCAGTGCCCTCCTTTGTGTGTGTTGGGGGAGTGAACAGGTGAAACCCCAGCCACTGCTTTTCCCCCAGCATTCCCATTTGCCACCACATGGAAGAAAAATTCAAGGTTTCTTGCCCATAAAATGACAGAATTCACTATGTCTCAACTGTGCTCTGAAGAGTTCTAAGAGGTCTGTTCAGACGTGGGTGGGAGGGAAGGACCCACCTTTCCACCAGAGCAACTCCACATTCATCTGCTTTGAATACTGAGTTTTTGCATTAAAATGTACTGGATGAACGGTTTCCAATGCTAAAACTATGACTCTACACCCTTGCCAAAATTAGTAGGAAACACAGTACTGCAAAGATACCTAGTGGTTTGTTGATTTTTTTTTAATTAAACGTAAATAAATCATGAATGTCTGCCAGTTAGAAAGAGATCCTTTTTGCTTTCCTCATAACTTCTCTTTTCTCTGTACTATCTTCTCTTATCCTATACTCTTCTCCTATTCTTTAAACGTATACAGTAGTGAAATAAACTATAGGACCTATGTCCATTATTTCAGACAGAATACCAACCAGGATTTTTCACACTGAGAGACCCTCCAGATGATCTAGCACTCAGACTAGGTTTCCTCTGGGAGCCCCTCCCCCACCACTCCAATAATCAGTGATGTTGGCAGCACCACAATACAGCCCCCACAGGGCACACTTTCCACCATGAAAGCTACTGCCCAAGCAAAGACAAGAATATTTCCAATACCTTTTGAAAGACTTTTCCAATTTCTACAGGAAATCAAAAGGAAAATAAAGCAAAGGAGTACAACTGTTCTTCTCAAAAAACATGTTTCTGATCTTCCCAGAGCTATCTCACTTCCAGGGCCCTAGCCCCATTCCACATCCTGCCTGAGTTATCGGCACTAGAGTCCCATCCTCAAAGGAATTGGACCGGTCCCTTACTTTCTGAAGAGAGGGAACACCTTGCTTCCCAGGTTAGACAGGGTGAGACCCCAGACTCTTTCCCAATCAAAGCCAAATCTCTTGATCATAACCGTATCAACCACATAACATTTACTCAGCCCCAGTTTCTGATCCAAGGGACACACCAGTGAAGGAGGTAGGTGATGGACATGCGGAAGCAGTTCACCCTGCAGGTGAGACCCAATCTCCCTAAACACAAAATGGCTGGTTCGTCCTCATTACTAGACCAACAGTAAGCCTCTACAATAACACTGTAACCATGGCCTCCACACAAGTCTTCATGTACTAGGGTCTTGCATGAAAAGCCAGCAAGGTCTGAAACCCCTCACCAAGTACAATGATCTCAGTCTTTTAAGAGTCTGCCCTGTGCCCACAATCCTCCCAACAGCCACCACAGCTGCAGCTGGAAGAACACATCCCATTCAATGGAACAGTCAAATTCCATAAATGTCATCCTTTCTTCTCACCCCCCTCCAAGAGCAGGGAAAGTCCCACAATAGATAGAATATTTCATTCACATTCTGTCTGAAAAGCAATTTTTTCCATAGAGAAACTGGGCAGCTAAATTCTCAACCAGATGAGGGTCCTATTCATATCAATCTCAAATGACAAATGACAAAGCTGTTGTCTGTCTCATAATAGTGAACATATTTTTTGAGTCACAAAACCATCTATGTCATAAATTTAATGCTGCATTTCCTTATAGCAATTATGTCATCACCTATTATATTGCATATATATCAATATTACATATGATAAACTTCTATCAACAGAAGTTTGTTCAAGAAAATTATAATTACTACATACTAAGCGCCTACATCGTACTGGCATCAGGAAGGAATTTTAAATAATCTTTGTCCAATGAGCATAAAATCTAAATCACTTAGAAACTAACTATTTGGCTCTTCCTTGACCCTTCTGGAGCCCTGCTGGCACAATGGTTAAGAGCTCAGCTGCTAACTAAAAGGTCAGCAGTTCAAATTCACCAGTCACTCCTTGGAAACCCTATGGGGCAGTTCTACTCTGTCCTATAGGGTTGTTATTAGTTGGAACTGACTCTACGGCAAAGGGTTTGGTTTTGGTTTTGACTCTTTCATCCAATTATCTATAAACACTACACAGAGCTGGGACATAAAGCCCTGAGAATGAACCCGCTCTGGGAAGATCAGAAACTGGTCATTTCTGCAAAGAGCAGTTTTAGTTCTCTGTTTTAATTTCCTTTGCTGTCCCTCAGAATTTAGAAACGTCTTTTGGACGATTTAGGCTGCTTCAGATAAGCTGAGAGATACCAAGGAGATATTCTGCCCATGCTTTGGGCCACCGCTTCAAAAGTGGAAGTGCAGCACAGGCAGCAACTGTGATAAATCAATGAGGATGACCAAACTCAGAAAACCCAGGCTGGGCACTGGCCAACTAACCTATCATCATCTGCAAGGTTCCCTCTTAGTGCTAAAAAATCTGGGCTAACGAAAACAGCTCTACAGTTCATTTCCCTGCTGTATCTATTAAGAGAAAAGGAGAATGATTTGGAGGGCATGGGGAAGAGATAGAA